AGAAAATATTGTGAGTCTAGGAGAGTCATTAAGGGCCACATCATACTTTCCCTGCTCTTGTTCTTCCACGGGCATCCACCCACAGCCACTGCAGGCAAGACTGACGGCTTAAACAAAGGTCAGAGCTGAGTCACTTTGACTTGTACTCAGTTACAAGATGGAACTAACAACGTATATGTATTTCAACTTCTAGAATTCAGGTGTTCTTTTGGAATATATTTCCCTTAGGTATATGTGGGTTTTGTTGTGTTTGGTTTTTTTTAACTTCTTATCTGTAGCGTCTCCATTTCATGTTATGACAAAGACCACTTTTGGGATTAAGGTCTTCTGAGGCCAAAGGATGTTCAAGCCTTGTAGATGGTAAGAATTACAAATTTAAAAATGTGAAGTTTAGTATCTCTGTCTGCTGAAGAACTAGAGATGATATTTATATAATGGAAACATGCTAATTGTTTCTAATCACTACCTCAAGAAATGAGAAAGACAATTAATTGCAAGTGCTATTAAAGACAGAATTTATTTCACATATCAACTGCTGTTATAAAGATGCAGCCTTTTTTCTAAGCTAGTCAGCTAGGTATTCTTTACTGTGAGAGCATGTGTGTGGGGGTGGTGTGTGCAGAGAGAGCCTGATGATCAACTTAGACTTGTTGCAGAACTTGTACGGAACTACAGATAGGTTTGATGAATCCAACCCTGCATGGCCTCTAAGAAGCAATTTCAAATCTTTCTTCTCTACCAAAATTATAACTGCCAGGAGTCTCTTGATTATCCTGTTCTTGAGAAGACTGGACGCCTATTATCAGATAAGTAACTGTGAAAAAGAGGATATACTTTCAGTTCAAGTGAAATTTCTGAATTTAATGAAAAAAACCCCAAACCCTTATCCTTTACTGTTGTCAGAGAGCATGTGTCCTTACAAGCAGGTATGCACGTAACATGTTGCAATTTATGGTTAATTCACTTTGAGTGTATAGAGCTAAGAGTATCCAATTAATTGCATTACTAGTGGACTAATACACCCAAATTGTGCAATTAACTAAACAGGGGAGAATACAGAGCTTTTCAGTCTCATAAATGTTGCCTCAGTGCCCCAGTCATCTAATGCAATCTCTTTGTTAATGCCAGATTATCCTTGAAGGATACAGGTCAGATACTAGTTGTTTTACTCAGCTTTGAAGCACTTAGACAGAGCCTTGTACAGTTTAAAAAGGTTCAGGATTCCTTTTTCCCTTTTTTTTTTTAATGAAGCCTTAGTTAATTCCCCACAACAAATATGACTCTATTTTTATTATCCAACCAAGCTAGGCTTTCACACACATGCATCAAATCTTTTCTCAGATTTTCATTATTTTAATCATCCAATCTACTATGAATGTTCCATACATAATGTTCAGAAGCTCATTAAAATGAACGCTCATCTTCTTTTACAAAGAAAGTCTTAACCTCTCCTATCAAGGCTTGTCCTGCTCTGCACTGGCGTGACCTCAGCTCGAGTCTTGTGTACAGTTTTGGGTGTCACAGTATAAAAAAGACATTAAACTATTAGAGAGAGGGTCACAAGGATGCTGAAGGGCCTTGAGGGGAAGCTGTGTGAGGAGAGGCTGAGGACACTTGGTCTGTTCAGCCTGGAGGAGACTGAGGGGAGACCTCACTGCAGCTAAAATTTCCTTGTGAGAGGAAGAGGAGGGACAGACACTGATCTCTACTCTGTGTGACCACTGACAGGACCCAAGGGAATGGCCTGAAGCTGAGTCAGGGGAGGTTTAGGTTGGACACCTGAAAAAACCTTTTCACCCAGAGGGTGTTTGGGCACTGGAACAGCTCCCCAGGCCAGTGGTCACAGCACCAAGCCTGACAGAGCTCAAGAAGCGTTTGGACAATGCTCTCAGGCACCAGAAATTACTCTTGGGGATGGTGCTGTGCAGGGCCAGGGGTTGGTCTCAATGACCCTGATGAGTCCCTTCCAGCTCAGCATATTGTATGATTCTATAAGCATATACAGCTTTATTACTAGCATGTATCATGTAAGAATTTTTTTTACACCGGATTTTTGCTGCTAGTTTTATGTACTTTAGCTATTTTTAATGGTTGAATGATCATATTTTTATCATGCATAATTACTTTCCTGCTAAAAAAAAACCCCGAAATTTTAAAACGTGGATGAAAAAGAAGGTCATCGCTCTTAAAGAAAGCATAGCTGTGGAAAATTTCAGCCCATACAGTAAATTTCAATGGCTGAGAACAAGAAATAGTGAAAATCCTGCAGTTTTTTTCACAACATTTCACGATGCTGTAATTTCGCAGCAGTTAGTACGGTTTCTTTTGTTCAGCTTACTCCAAGTGAGGAAATAATGGTTTCAGATTAATATCTTCATCAGAAGCTACCTTCATGAAGCTAAGTATGTCCCGTAGAGAGACTGAATGTTTACTTTATGCTAAATTCCACATATAATCAAATTAGGATTAATTAAAAACTTAAGAAATGCAGTAAATATTTATTCTTCAATGATGCAGCCAGGGAATCTGTGCTATTCTAGCCTTGTGCAGTTATTGGCATGTAAGATGGTAAAGTCCATCCAATATATGAACAACTCTGTTCCACCTTTAAAAGGCTCCAATTTATTATCCATTATTTACATCAAAAAGCCACTACCTGCACTACTACACTGCACATACTGAAGTGTAGCTAAAACAGAATTTGAAACTATTAACTAAGCAAAATACCTAAGTTATGTTTTCAGGCCACAGTGCATAAGCTGCCATGAAAATTTGGACTGATCCATTGAGAAACCTGTTCTGGCACTGCCAGTGGCCAGTTCTTATTTTTTCTCTTCTTTTTTTTTTGACCTTTCTCTGGAACACTGCTGTGATTTCAGCAGGGCAGTGCGCAACCTGATTGTAGCTAGTTTTTTGTTATATAATAGAGAGAACAAAGAAGACTTGCTAAGTACAGCATAACCATAGCAAAATCAGAAGCCACTCCTTCCATGAAATTCTATTCTTCTTTCATGTTTTTTAGTGGCTCATTAATTTTTGAAATTTTCCATGCTTGATCTCTCACCAGAAGTGCTTTTTGTTTTTTATGGTTGACCAAATTTGCCTTTCTGCTTCTAAGCTGTAAGAGAAAACAGGAAGGGAAGGGGACAGGGCTAGGGGAGGGAGGGTGGAAGGAATGAAACAAAAAGGGAGGCAGGAAAAGTGAAAAATACAAGTAATTAGGGTGCCACAACTGCAAATTGCTGTTAGCAAAATAAAGTTTTTCAATGGAAGGGTATTAGGCTTTACTTTTGGAGAAATGCTTTCTTTAGCAGTAGAAACAGATGAAACTGCTTCTGATCTCAGTGACTGATGTGTCTGTACATGCTTCTGTTTTCTTAAGAAAACACAAGTTCCATACTGGCCAAGATTCATGTTTTGACTGCCACTGTAGTCTAGGAATAATTCCCCTACTTTTCCTGTCCCACATGGCAGATTTTTGCAATACATTCTCCTCTTGACATTTCAAAACTTACACAGTGTAAACAGGCAATGAAGAAGCCAGGGCCCTCTACCTGCATTCCAAAACACAAGTTCAAAATATAAAGGAAGGCCTCAGACGACATCTTTTGTGAGAGAATTAAGTAGGTCCAGAATCTAGAACTCAGACATGGGCTATTAAATTGTTAGAACAATCATGGTTTGGCCTGATTTTGACTATAAGTATCTAGCAAAGACCAACAATTTTGGGCAGCACTCACCATTGCCACTTGAGAGTCTGTAGGAGGGACGCTACTATGGGACTTTCACTACAGAGATGTGGATAAACTGTGACTTGGCAAGGCTTTGTTTCTTTACGACTGTTTTAAATATGGAACTTGATGGATTTTGGCAGTGGATTGTATGACATATTTTCCCTTTCCAGCAAAGCACAGGATTCAGTAGCACAGACAGTTCACCACAGACCTATTCTCTCTTTATGCCTCAAAACTTGCAGAAAAAGAGACTAGCCTTCACCTATCTTTCCAAAAGTACAGATGTCATGCTGTTGGATGTTATATACATAGCCATATCTATATACAAACATATAGACACATAATCAGCTCCATTCCTCCAAAAGCAGAGGGTATTAGAAGTCATTACTTGGTAGCACTGAATATTACACAGATTTCATCACATACCAGACTGCTTCACCCTTACTTTTCTTGTTTCTTTTATCTTTTCCGTTTATGCACTCTTCTCTCTGAGTTTTTCAACTTGCTTCTTCTCTGGGTTTTTTTCCTCTCCTTTCAGTAGAGGATATCAGCCAACATCCTTGAGTGGGTCAGGCATGAGCAGAACCCAACAGAAGACAGTCTGGTGTATATTCCCATTTAGCAGCTACTTCTGCTACCACAGGATGAACACAGCCCTCGTCCCACACTAGCAAAGAAAATCCCAATTGCTTCCACACATCACATCACATAGCATAGCACAGCATAACTCCTAAAACTAGAATACAGACTACAGTTTCAACAAAAAAAGAAATTTTTTTTTAATGGCTTGCATAGATAATATTCCAGCCACCTTTAGCAATGATGCTACTTTACAAAATGAAAGAAAGCAACTCTCCCTTTGTGGTGACTTTTGGTGGTTTTACCTGGATAGATGTGTAGTTAGCAAGTAGGGAGAGTAGAAAAAGAATTTCACCCAGGATCATTTTAGTCCAGACACTGCCTTTTTTAAAAAGTGGCAGAAAACCAGGATTTCCAGTCACCAATAAGGGTATATTTTTACTCTTTGATGGGATTTTACCCTCTGACATCCCTGTGTGGCAGTGATTCACAGACTGGCCCTGCATAGACTGTGGATCTGCTTATTTCCTTGTGCCAGCCTAATATAAATTTAATTATTCTGGACATCATTGACTGTGGTAAAGAAGATGAAATGTTATAGAATGGAAAGAGCATTTCAACACAGAAACAGCAAAGACAAGAAGTTTTTTCACAGCATGAAGAGCTGTTCAAATACTTTAATCTTACCTCTCTGAGAGGATCATTGAGCTCATTCAAAATATTTTCTTCATCAAAGATCTTGCCTTGGTAGCGATGCTCATAGTAATCATGTATCTTCTGGCGCATTTCTGCAGGTAATTTGTGGAATGACATGTACTGTTCCACTTGTTTGTACTGTCAGGATAAAAAATAAGGAAAATAGCCTCAAATTTTTGCTATCTAAAAGCACCTACAAAATACAAATTCATTCATGTGTCCACTTAAGCTTTACACATTTTATAAAGATAACATTTTTTCACATGTCAGAAAACGCTCACACAAATATTAATTAATGTAATATTACTCGCATGACAACATCTCTATAAATTACAGAAACTACCTTTAGGAGCAATGTTAATATCCACACGAATATATAAGTTTTAGAAGTCAAATCCTCATACTTTTCATACATCTCTAAATTCCCAGCTGTACAGGAGCTTTAAAAATACACCAACACGATTTTTATCTCATGCAGTAGACAGGAAAGCTGTACACAGTCTGTAGCACTGCATTTGGGGAGAGATGAAGGTGTGAAATTTTAGAAACTGTACTACTAAGCAACATATTAATGTTGTGTATGCTTAGGGGGTTAAAACCTGTGTAGAAAATGAAGTAGAAAACACTCCTCAAGAGGGATGAAAAGAGAAAAGTAAACTAGAAAAATAGGTGTGGGATCAGGAAATATAAAATGACGGAAGAAAAAGATACCAGGATCCAGGAGACTAAGAGGAGCTCACTTCATTTACCTTGTATGTTTGGTTTCTTTGCTTTTAGTAGCCTTCTATCCTATATTCTGTGAGTTTGGGGTTTTTTTTATTTTTTATTTTTGTTTGTTTGTTTGTCAACATACTCATAGTTGTACTGTACTAAACTACACGATAATCTAAGACCCAAAAAATGGACAATTTATCTAAAGTGCAAATGGACAAATCCACCACAATAAGATTTTTTGCCCCTCACAGCCCCCATCCTTGTCTCATCTGAAAAGGATAAGGCACTGAGGCAGAGAAGGATAAATCTCATCTCAGGCTAAAAGGTGAATTAAAACTTGGCGGAAACTTGATTCAGGCATGTAAACAGTCTTAATTTATTTTTTGTTAGTTATTTCATGCTTAGTTAGGGAACTGAAACTGCTTTCAATGGCAAAGCCAATGAAGTCCTAATTAGGACTGGCATCACTGTAGAACAGTTAATTAAATGTATAATGTACATGCCTTCTATGTGAACTGCAGCACATATCCTTCAACTTACATAGCTGAAGACTGCTCTGTCTTCTGCAATTGAAATTAACTTTTGCTTTGCAAAGTGGCAAAAGACTCGATGAGGCCATGTGTACAACATACGTTCCAACAATACGAGGAAAGTAATTTTTCACGGGGCTATTTAACAATGTAGGATGAATGTGTTTGAGTGATTTAACCCCTGCACAGTCATTTTGCCCCTCTGCAGTAACAATTCCTCACCCACATCCTTTAGATGTGTGATTTAAATTTGCATGCTTGCCATTGTTTTCTGTTCTGATATAAAGAAATTTTCCCCTATGTTTTGGGTTAGAACCAGACATCACCATGGCCCCTAGGACAGAGGCTGCTCTCTCTACACAATTTTATTCACACACAAATGTGCTTAAATAACAGTAATAATGAATAATCCTGTCGAATAAAAGAAATACATTCATTCTGATGTATATTACAAGCAAGCTGGAAAGGACTTTTGTACCAGAATGACCTTGAAATAGAGAAAATTTGAGCTACAAGGAAATTGCTTGGGCAGCAGTTTCCACTTCTGCCTTTCATTAGTGCTTTTACTTGAATGGGGGCTTTCTCCTGCAACAGTAAGCTGTTTTCTTTAACAAGATTTATGCTTACACATGAGAATTTTAGGGAAAAAGAAAAAAATAAAACTAGGAGAAATGTACTACTTATCACTGGTGTGTCTCAAATTACTCAAATTAGTAATATATGGAATAATAGGCACAGCTGAATATTAGCACCCTTTTCTTTAAAAATCTATGAAGAAGTTAAAGACTTCCACAATTCCTAGAAGTTTATAACCATCTAATATAATATCAAGGTTTTTCTATATCTAAATATCTGAGTCTGTGAGTATACTGGTAGTATACTATCACTGGCTCTTTAATCAATATTTTCTTAATATTTCTCAGTGTGTGATTTTGGCTTATTTTCTGTATCATTCACCATTCTACTACTCCCTTCCTGACCTTCTGTTCATATGTAGCATTACCTCAAAACTTTTATGCTGCCCTCTTGTTCAGTAACTATATCTTTCTTTAACTCAGCACAAGAAATAATTACTTTTTCAATTCCTCAGAATAATGTGGGTATTCCACGTTAGTTGCCACTGCAGTGTGTCACATGCCAGTCGCAAAAAAAAAGTGCTGAAATGAAGATACAAAGAGAGCAAGATCAATATGGTGTTGTTAAATTTATGTAAAAAATCAGGAATTTGTCTAAATTAATTTAGAAGAGTATTTTTTTTGTGGGTACTACAGATATCAATAATGTTTAAAAATAAAGGTATTTTTCACTTTTATGTAATTATACTGGGTTTTATTCCTGGGGCTCTTTTTATGCATTAAAAAAATACAAATAGCTAAAGAGCATTGAAATATTTTCTGGAAAAGATAAAAGGTAAAAAATATTTAAATTTTTTCATTAGTGTTTCGAATCCCTTAAAAATATTATAATTCAGTAGCTTCTTGATTTTTCTAAGTATAATTGTAGATCTCAGGTGGATAAAATTGTCAATAAATTTAAATTTTGTTTAAAAATTATCTTTAATCATATTCGAAATGGCTGTAACCAATCCTGAGCTACCAACATTTAAACTTGCATTTTTATATGTGAGAAAAATAATTTCTTTCTAATAAGTCTTCTCATTACACTGTGTTCTCTCTCTTTTCCCCTCCAGACTTAAAATTTTGGTTTGCTTGGTGCTTTGTTTTGGGGTGGGATTTTTGCTACTTTTGTTTTGTTTTCTTGTTTTCGTTTATTCCGAAAATAGATGTCTTAATCCCATATTCATAAAAACACCTCTGGTATTTATTTCATTTGTGTAAAAAAACCTTTCAGAAACACGGTAAGTCCCCTCAAGACTGACTTTCTTTTTTTTTTTCTTTTATTTCTGGCTTTTTGTATGTCATATGAGAAGCACCAGACTATATTCAAACACAAAAGACTTTGCTAGCCCCCCTGCTTTGCAATTTCTAATTGCCTTTCCATCCTTGCTCCTGCAGGCAGCACTTGATTTTCCAGGAAATACTATTTATTAAGGGACTGCACATGTTCATATCTAAAGGAATGTTCCATAACTGCTACAAGTATTTATTCCTGGTCTTTTCAGTACCATTGAATCAAGTAAATACTGTGTTGCTGACCACTCAGCAACTTTGTTTTTTTAATTAATTGACTTAATTGACTTGTTTGTCCTAAAATGAATACATATATTAGTGTGATTTATATATTGCACTGCCATATTTTCAGTAATTTATATCTGTTTTATATTCATCAATGAAATGAAAATGCCTGTACACGCTACAAAATTGCTGATATATGTAACAGCTAAGTGGCTTTCAAAGTTTCAAAGTAACATTCCACGTATTTTAATGCAAAACACCCAGTAATAATTGAATCTTGTTGTTTCAGACATAATCTTATTCATAGGCTCTTTGTATGTAGCAAAATCCTACTAATGAGGTCCTCCAGCAAAAGGTGAAGAGTATGACATTAGTTATACGGGATCCGGAATGGAATTGGTTAGTAAAGTACAGTTATCCTTAAAAAAAAATAGGTATGGAAAAAGGCAAAGGAGAAGAAGAACGTATTGTGCATAACAATTTGCAACTGAGGCAGGGAAAATATTTTGACATTAATATAATGTTATGTCACAATACAGAAAAAATCCTAATGAAATCAGTAAAACAGAAACCCCAGCGTTGACCCTTCACAAGATATTTTAGTATATATGTTGAGCCTACCAGTTCCTTTCTTCATAAAGTTTTGTAACTAACTAGTTGACCTTTTTAGCTGAAAATTTTCTTGGAGTCCTAATAATCTTTACTGCTCTGCTGTTCTGTCCATGATACAATAAATGATATAAAAATTTGAAAGATATGAATCGTGTCAGTTAAAATCATGCAGCTGATTACCTTCATGTACCTGGAACTGGTCCCACCTAAACTAACTGAATACTTTTCAAGCACAAGTGCTAAAGCCAGATTTGTCCAAAATGTCAACACTCAACAACTTCCATAATTGGCTAGTTTTTCAAAGCACCGAGGTCCCTGTGCCATCAGTTGAAAGTCCAGCTTGAACAATAGGCCTTTTGCATTTCATGTAATAATTTTGTCCTCAGCAATAGAGCCTCATTTCTAAGAAAGTTTCCCCAAAAAACTAAGCAACTACAAATAGCATTTTACTGAGATTTATAGCCAGTCAAAGCCATATCTTTAGAAATAAAAAGTTCAATGAAATGTGGAAAAAAAAAATCCTATATACTGATTGCAAATGTAAAAGAAAGCAAAGATCATTTGTGAAATCCTTCTACTGAATCAAGGAAGTTCTGTCCCATAATTTAGATGTAACAAATCCATTAGTACTCTTCAAATGGTTTGAAAATACTTGTGTACCAGGTACGAAAGAAGAATCTAGGCAGCATTAAAAAATGCAGAAGATTTAACTCACTGAGGAGTAGGAAGAGGGGGAATTTGATCAAGATGAAGCCTTTCTAAGTAACAAACAACTGTTTCAAGAAGTTCAGCAGTACTATATATAGTTCTGAACCTTATTTTAAATTTTGGTCTAAAGATATTCCGATGTAGTTTAAATCAACTAATGTTAGTAAAAAATTATCTAGCAGTTTCAAAAGATCCTGTCTCTTGGTATATCTCTCTGGAGTGTTTATAGAGAATTAATTATGTCTTTTCCCAGCCTCATGCAGGTAGTTGATTCTGCTTTTTGTTCAGACCAAAGCATTTTTGTTCAGAGCTCTTCTGGCATTCTTCTCTTTCACCTGTTCTAGTTTGAGTTCATTTTTATCCACCTGCAATTACTAGAATAATTTACATTTTTCTAGTAATACACAGTATTTTAGAGGAAGTATTACATAGTATTTTA